GGGGAGCGCGGGGGCGTTGCAGGCAGGGGGAGGGGAGAGGGTGGACGGCCTGGGGAAGAAGGGGAACTTCCTGGGTGTCCCCGGCCCCTGGCCCAGGGGAACTCGCTGTCGCCCACCGCCCCACGCCCACACGACCGAGAAGTGTCACTGGGCGAGGCTGCGGTTTGTACAGGCGATGGGGGAAAAGTCGTTAGATTCTAGCCACTGGGGACACGTGAAAGGCAGGTCTGGCCATCTGGGGCTGGCCTCCAGGGCCCCCTGGGTGGCGGGTGGTGGCTTGCTTATGCATCAGAGGGCCGTGAAAGTTAAAGAGAACAATTGTGTTTGAGGATCAACCCAGTTCACCGTCAGAGAGCACAAGCGCAGCAGTTGGCCACATCTTAGTGTGACAAGGGCAGAAAGTGAGCCCAATGGTCGTCCCTAGTCGAGCTCGGACACTGAGGTCAAAAAGACGGCCGGGGATCCGAAGCAGACTGTGAGGCAAAAGAGAAGACTGGGCTGGACCCCCAGAGGACAGGGTCCTCCCCTAGCTTTGCCAGCTGCCTGGCTCCCACTCCCAGTACATTCTCTCTCTCTCTCTCTCTCTCTCTCTCTCTCACACACATGCACTCCTCTCTCCCCTCTCTCCTCTCTGTCCCCTCTCCCTCCTCTCCTCACTTCTCCTCTCCTCTCCTTCCTCTCTCTCTGTCTCTGTCTCTCTCTGTCTCTGTCTCTGTCTGTCTGTCTCTGTGTCGCTCTCTCTCTCTCTCCCTTCCCACCCCCACCCTTTTCCAGCTCCCAAAGTTAGGAATTATTTTTAAGCCTTCTTCTCAGGAAATGCCAAGTGAAACCACGCCGTCTCCTTTCTGCAAGAGCTGTGGTCTCGTGGGGGGCCCCAGCCAGCAGCCCCCACTCCTCTTGGTTGCTGGCAGGACCCTTCACCCATCGGTAGGGCCGGAAACACCCGAGGTCGGCCGAGGGAAGCTGATTAGAAAGTCCTTTACTTCGCGAAGGAGACGCTGGCTTCCCCAGACCGGAACGTCCGCGCTGCGCTCTCAGGCGACCTTCCCGAGGCGTTCCCGCTGCCCCTTGGCCGCCCCGAGCGCTCCCACGCCTCCCGCCCTGCCCGGAACGATCCCAGGAGGGGACGGCGTTGCTGGCGAGAAACGGCAACTACATTCTCCCTCTTCTTCTCCGCGCCCCTTTCCGCGGGGCTCCGGGTCCAATTTCGCGTTTAGAGATCCTTTCCACCTTCCAGCGTCGTTCGGAACAAGCACAGCTCCAAGCAGCACTTCGCGCCGCGCCGCTTCCCTCCAGGCCGGCTGGCGGTGCCCGCTCCGGGGGCCGGGACTCCGCGCTCCCAGGGACGGAAGCAGCTCTGGAAGATGCCAGTTCCAGAGGGTCCCACTCCGGGACGCCAGGAGACTGTTGGTAGAGACTCGACACAGACACCTCAAAGGTGAGACTACCGCTGAAGTCCAATACAGTCTCCACGAAAACCACCAGCGCTTCCCCTGTGGCAATCCGTCTCCCGAGTGGAGAAAGGAAGTTTCTGAGAAGTTCACGGCGAACCTCTGAGGACAAGTGAGGTCTCCCAAAGGAATGGGAAGAGAAAGTGCTCCCCATCCTGGCTTCACTTTAAACTTGGCCGCTTGTGGGACTTCTCTAGAGGGCTGCGGAGTTGCACCAGCATAAGCACCAGGCAGATCCGAGCGAGCACTTCCAAGTACTTCACGGCGCGGGGGTGACTGCATTTCCCTTCAGGAGTGTCCCACTTGCCACCCTTCCCCGCTGAGCCGATGGGAACCGCTAAAGTCTAGGAATAAAGGTTTGCAGATCCCTCTGGGGACTCGTGTACAGAGGTGTTAAACGAGAAATCCAAAGACTGTCACGCTGGGCTGAATAACTTTTGTACTTATTTATTTCGTTTTCTTCTTTGTAGGAAGCGACGCATGTAGCTCTAAGCAGTGGAGAGCTGGGAATAGGATGGAGTTCAAATGTCTTCCTGGGTGCAAGCATAAAAAAACGTAGTGTATCCCAGACTGTGGGTGTTTCCCTGGATGAAATCACGTATTTTAATGTGCGGAGTAGCCATAAGTAACTTTTCCATACTCTTCTCATATTGCAAGCCCTTTAGGGTGGAAAATATCTTACGTTTGGTTTGACCTTTCTATACGTTGTGCATTATTTTTTAAAGTGCTTTACAAATATGTCTCCACTTTCCTCTACTTACCCATTTCATCTAATCTCCTCCAGTAAAGCCAAGTACTCCTCACACTCCAAGTACTGGTTTTGGTTGTTGTTTTTGTTATTGTTGCTTGCTTTGGCTCCTCTTATGTAACCTGATTGTGATAGCCAAAGAGAGAAGGTAAGGGCTGTTTTATATGCCTGTCAATAGAGAATGGCGAGAGTTAGAGAGAAACTAGACAATTCTCTATCATAAGAGTCTAGCCTTAACAAAGGTTACTTTTATTCTGTCTTGTTGGAGGTGGTTAAAGAAAAAGTAGGAAGTTTGCAAGAACATTTTCTAGTGTGCCTACATAGTTAGTGACAGCATTAGCTAACCTGGAGTTGATATTCTTTTAAGAGGCCAAGTTCCTAGAAGTATGGTTTCATTAGCATATAAATAGAATCAACCTTTCTTTTGATAATTACTCAGTTTTTGACTTTTCTTTGCTCAATGAGATCTGTCTTGACTTTTAAAATTTATCCCCAAATTCAGTGTTTATGCCAAATTACTTTAAAATAATGTCAAGCTTCTCTTTGAGATCATTCTCTAAGCATCAGTGGCCATAAGTGTTGGACTGCACATGGAATAACAGGGTTTGGATGGGGAAAAAACATTTGCTGCTTTGTTAACTTCATATAAGAAATGCTTATGTAAATGTTTTATAGTCAAAATAATCTGAATTTCTGGTGAAAAAGTTATGAGCATCTCTTCTTAAAAATGGTCAAACAATTGGTTTGTTCAGTTTAAGAATTTTCTTATTTCTGTGAATCAACACTTGTGGAAAGTTGTCATTTTAACTCAATTTTCTGGTTTAAAAACTTCTAAAAACTTACTTATGTTAAATTGAAATTATCTTAATCTCCAAATGCTCTGAGTGATGAAATGTAAAATCAGGGTCACATATTTTGGTAACTTTCTGATGTATATGGCTATAAATCTTGGAATACAGTTTTGTTGACAAGCAGAACTTCCTAAAACCATGACTCACCTTAGATCTAAACAGAGTTGAAGAGTCAGTGTCTGTCTGGAGTAAATGGGTTTCTCGCTTGTCTAATTTTGGAACAAACTCAAGTCAGGTATTATTATTCCTCTGAAATACATAGGATATTGTTCACTCACTTATGACTTCTTGAGTTTTATTTGGTCTTTATCAAGTTATGTAAAATACACTTCCTTTCCTACATATTTACTATTCTTCTGAATATTTGTGGATTGTGATGGTTGTCTATCAAATGAGTAAAGGTCTGCTTCAGGAATAAAGAAACAATAAGCACCCAAAGGATTGTTTCTTAACTAAGAAAAATACACTTTAAACCTTAATATTTGATATACAAATGTAATGTTATTTAAAGATGGAGTCTTTAGCAGGTCTTTTGGGAAATATTTTATAAGAATGCTATACTTTAGAGATAGGCATTGCTCAATAGAGAGGTATTCAAAGACACTAATGCAAGTAAGGAGTAAATGCTATCTTTAGTATCAGCTGATCTGAGCTACCTTAGGTACATCCTGGTATCAATGCTACATACCTGTCTGATGTTTCCATTTAGTTAATCACAGTCCCTGAATTCAGCATATCATCTAGGATTGTTTAACCCAGAAGAGGATGCCACAATATTGTGATTTATTTTCCTCCCTCTCCTCATCAAAACTCCCATTTAGTCAGATTAGATGAATCTAATTACACTTTTAAATTAAAAAAAATCATTGGAGTGATTCAACCTAAAGTGTGGCAATCTATTCATCTCAGAACTATGAAACACACTTAATTTGTGAAAATTAGAATTTCCAGCAAAATGTATCATAGGTAGGGGAAGTAAGGGCACCTCAGTCGTTCATAGATGTGGATGCTCAATCGTTAGTGTGGTAACCATTTTTATACTTGTGCTTTTGATAATGCTAATCACAATTATTCAAATCTATGTTTATCCTTTGATGAGCCATTTCCATAAATCATACACTGTTTTAACAAAATTTCCACTGGATTTTGAAATGGTGTTTTAAAATGGACCCAATCATCAAAATATCTTAAAAACAAAGTCTCCATTGGTTTCCTGCGAGCTCGACTTAGGAATAGTGGTAGACACACTAAATTATCGTTGCTGCTCTGAGGTGCCATCCAGTGGGCTCCAACTCTAGAGACCCTCCTATGTACAACTGAAGGAAACACTCCTCTGCCCTTGAGCCCGTCACTGCGGCACCAACTCGTATTAGATGACAGTAACAAACT